GACCTAAAAATTGAAACAGTTGGGATAAATTTTTAGAATAAAAGGTAAAAGAGATTTAAAAAAAAAAAAAAGGTTGAGATAGAGGAATTTATGAGTGTGCGTAGGGTGGAATATGAAATGAGGGTCCCATTAATGGGTGCCTTTAGGGCACGTGTTAAGCATGTACTTTTATTTTTTTATTTAGTTGCTTTTTTTGAAAAAAAAAAGTATCTAATATTTGTTATTAATATTAAAAGAATTTAATATTTTCCTAAATTTTTCTACCTCGTATTTAAATTTAATATTAAAAGAATTTAATATTAAAAAAAGGTTTATTTAGTGCTTATTAAGTGATTTTAAGAGCATTTTAAAAGAAATTGAAGCTCAAATAATAATAAATTATCATATTGTAGGCTAATAATAATAATTAAGTAGAAAATTATAATATGGCCCATGCATTTTGGAGATAGTTTTTACCAACTGTAATGGTTAAAGGTTGAGAAGATGGCCCCACCTATTTCCTATTTAATATTAAAAAAAAGGGGTTTATTTAGTGCTTATTAAGTGATTTTAGCAGGCATTTTAAAATGAAGATTGAAGCTCAAAATAATAATAAATCTATTCATATGCTAGGCTAAGTAATAATAATTTAAGTTAGAGAAATTATAATATGGCCCATGCATTTTGCGACGATAGTTTTCTTACCAAACTGTTAATGGTTAAAAGGCTTTGAGAAGATGGCACCCCACCTATTTGCCGTATATATTATATATATACTATATACTATACTATATATGGAAGATTAATTAACATACATTATAAAAAAAATTTAAAGATATTTAACTTGAATCAGTAAGTATTATTATATACAGTTGATGATGCATATATGGAAGATAATTAACATACATATAAAAAAATTAAATATTAACTTGAATTCAGTAATAGTATTATTATATACAGTGATGATGATGGTGATAATGATAATGATGATGCAAATATATATATTAATTAGTAGACACATGTAGCTATGGATATGGTATTACTTCAACATGCCGACTTAATTATTTAATTAATTTATTAATTCACTTTAATCTGTTAGCATTGACACATACATGAATTGTTTAAGAAATCTATAGCTTTTCAAGTGTTTAGTCATTTTCTTTTGAAAAAGAAATTGGGTAATTTGAAAAAGAAGAGACAAGCTAAGAGTCCCCATGATAGCAATATTGAATACTATATTATATACACATATAGCCATCATAATATAATTACTTACTAATGTATACTCTAGCTTAATATAAATATATAAATTTATATAATATATAAAAATTAAAAAAAAATGAAAAGGAGTGAGAATATTCAATCTATGATGGCCATCAAGAGATTTTAGAGATTGGGATTAGTATGATGTGATATTAGTGGTGCTTACATTTTTGAAATAGACTAATTAATTACCATTAAGGAGACAATAATATATATGGTACGGTCATGTACTACCAACGGTAAAACAAGCACATGCATGGGAATAATATAATTTGAAAGATGCATGGGAATAATTCTAATATAATTAATTACCATTTCGAGCAAACTCTTTTATAATTATTAAATTAATTGATTTTTTTTTTTGTGTAACTCTTTAACAAGGAAATAAGGAATTTTCCAACTTGCAAATGAAATTTTAGATTGGACAACTACGTGAAAACCAAAAAATTATTTGAAATAAGAAATTATTACAAGTTAATTAATGACATTAAATAGTGAAATGTCTAAATATTTAAATTAATAACATTAATTTGAATTTTAAAGCAATCCAAAAGTCATCATCATAGTGGTTACTTTTGATCTTAGATTCCAATATGGAAACTTCCCTAGCATATCTTCTTAATCAAAACCCATTAATTATTATAGCAATATTACTAGAAAATGATCTTAGAGCTATATATATCATAGCAATTTTGAGTTTTAGATTAATATAATTGCCCATTTCACAATGTCTTTGATGCATTTGAAAAGGACATTGGAAGGTCACCACATTTTGATGGTTGTTTATATATAAATTTACTTTTAAACAACAACTATGAAGAATGGACTTTAATGAAAATAATAATAAGAAGAAGAAGAAGAAGAAAAAGAAGTATGAACTCTTAAAAGACTAAATCAAGAATAGTCTTTTTTTTTCAAAAAACAAAAAAAAAAAAAAAAGGCAAAAAAAAAAAAAAAGCATATTGCCTCAATGGATTTTTTTTCAAAAAAAAAAAAAAAAAAAAAAAGGCATATTGCCTTCAATGGACAATTATTGGCACATCATTTAGTTTTGAATTTACATACTAATGCAATTTTCTGAAATTACAGTTCACATTACTATTATTTGGAATGTTTCAAATTAGTTGTTACTTGTATATTTTTGTTAAAATAATCAACTAACTAATGTTCTTCTGTTAACAATATCTTTCAAATAGTTTGCATTACTTTTATATATACTAAAAAAACTTCATTTCCAATATATATATATATATATTACATAAAATTGGTTAACAATACTCTACTTTATATAAAAATAAATCGTTTAAAGTTATTGAATGAATATTAAATGAATAAATAATTTCTATAAATTATAATAAAATTTTATTAATTTAATTAAATTAATTTTTAAAAAATTATATAGATAGTTATTGTATTTTGATATTAAAAAAGGATAAAATTGAAAAGAATTTATTAATTATGATATTATCAAAATGACTTAAATTTATGAACAAAAAAGAAGTAAAATATAAAAACTCAATTTAAAGTAAATTAAATGCTTTATATTTATTCAATCACCTACCAACAACAAATAAGTATAGGAAGTTACGTTCAAAAAGAAAAAAAAAAAAAGTATGGAAGTTTGGGTGAAAATAAAAGCAACAGAAAAGAAATATTTTCATATATATGTAAGTAAAAGACAGGCTAAGTGTACATAATTGGAGGAGTGACTGCCGACTTGAGATATCTATGTTGGGATTAGGACATTTTCAAATAGGACCAGCTTTCACCAGCACTCAAGTTAGTTAATTTTTGGTTATCTTAAGTTGTTATAAAGTTGTTATTCAATGGGAGAATCCTAGGAAAAACTTATATACACGAGAAAAATTAATTAATTAATAGTCACAATGACCTAATTTAAGACTATATCTCACATGTATCTGTGTGTATTAACTAACTGTGTCTACTAGCTATATATATATATAAACTTATGAACATCATTGTTTAAAACCCAAGTCCTGTTAACATCACAACTTCATTCTTGCAATATCATTGTTTTCTGATGGTGATAGAAAAGTTATCTCAGAATACTGTTTTAGATAATACATAAATACAAGTAGACTGGTCCTATATATATAAGGCCTTCTCTTTATTATTATTATTATTATTATTTATTTTCTTTTTGGCATATTGTTAACTTCGATCTTTTGAAGAGAGGGAAGGAGGGTGAAAGCATTTAAGTCCTCACTTATTTCCTATTGGCTTCTAATGAATCCCTAATTGTCTAAATGTAGCACTTAGAGATAACTAGTTGAACTCGATAATTACATTAACCAATATTAATTTAACATCATTTAATTTTTGTTGTTAAATAATAATTAACGTTATTATGCTTTTATAAACTAGCTTTACAAAGGAGTGGTTCGAATAATAAAACATACTTGAGTTCAACAGAATGATCTCTAAAAGGTTAAGCATTTAATTTATGGAACAAATATTTATGAGTGGAAAATTACCGACCTCCATCTATTATCCAAAAAGTAAGAAAATACTTATTTAAAATGAAAATAATTTTGTTATTGATAGTCTATTTAGCTAATGACAATATCAATTCTTTACCAACAAACACACTTTTTCCAAATCCCCATAATATGAAAAAAAGAAAGAAAGAAAGAAAGAAAGAAAAACAGTGAGAACCTAACAAGAAAGTGGGGTCCATACATTTTTCGGCTCCATTGATACAAATGCATGCATATGATTGGGACCCACTATTGAATTTTGTAAGTTTACAAGAACTTATAATTTACATTTTGGGTTGTATTAGGAAACGTGTTTCCACGTTTGAAATAACAGTAATAAAAAAATAATAATATTTACATTTTGGAAAACAATATTCTTAGCTTATTATATATTAAAAAAATATGGAGATTTTTTTTATTTGATAGATAATTAGATAAAAAAAACTTTTTAGAGCATTAAAGTAGGTGTTGTGTGGTGGTTGGTTGTGTGTTCCTTAGCGATTTAATTGCTTTATCTTGAAACACTGGCATCCAACCACAAATAAATATAAATAATATAAATAAAAAATAATAATCTTAATAATATACCAAAACAATGAAAAGAAATTGAAAAAAAGAAAACAAACAAAAATATGAAAAAGACAAAGAGATATTTATTATTGAATTGAACCATTGGGTCCCTCCACACCCTCTTCTCTCATCTTCACAATTCTCATCTTCATCATCATTATCATTATCATCATCATCAATCTTACTTTCTTTTTCTTTCTTTTTCTTTTTTTTTTTTTATAAATGAATTAATCTTTTGGGTTATTGGAAGGAGACGTTTCCTAGTCTTTCAGCTGTTTGTATGTGTGTATATATACTATATATCTTCTTTCTTTTGCACTTCCTAATCCCAATTTTTCATTTACAGTTAATTTTTTGTTTAATAATATATAAAAAAATAAGTGCAATGAATGATTTGAAATGAGAGGGTCAAATCAGAGGTTTTCCCTTGTTTGATCTACTCGCAGGTAACTCACTCAAAAGCCATTGAAACAGAAAGATAAACTAGGCATATACATAAATATGGCTATACCTAATAACGTCATGAGAAAGTATATATACATATATTTTTCTTTTTAATTTTAATTTTTTAGTTTTTCTTTAAATTTTCTTTATATAAATTTTCTTATATATATATAATAATATATAAAATATTGATAATAAATATATATATATATATATATATAAAGATGATAATAAATGTATGGATAATGAGTGAATATATAAAGAATGGTATCTTTTTCCAAGCCTTTTTAACCCAGTCTTTCTCTTTACTTCTCTTTTTCCTTTTCAGCAAGGGAGTTGCAGAGATTTTGGTCTGACAAAGGGCTTTTTATTTTTTCTCTTAACTAGTGAAGGGACTGATAATAAAATCCATAGATATTGATCTTTCATATAGACAGGTTGGTGTGTTTTATGTGTTCTTGATGTATCTCTTTCTCTTTTTTTTTTTTTCAATTTTTTTGTACTTTTAACCATAACTGTATCTCTCTCTCTCTCTCTCTCTCTCTCTCTCTCTCTCTCTCCTTTTCTTTATTTCTTCTCTCTCAATTTCTTGGGTTTTAGGTCATTGTAAGTGAAAATTCTTTCTTTTCTTTGCAGTGCAGATGATCATCAAGCACGTGCAACACTCAGATTTCCATCACAACAGGTTCTAATTATATAAAAACTAATACTATAATCAATTCTCCCTCTCTTTCTTTCTCTATCAACTCCTCTCTCTCTATAAAAGCTATACTCTCTCCATATTCTACTTCCTTTCTTCCTTCCTTTCTTTCTTCTTCTAGATTTTATCTTCTTTAAACTCTAGAGGATGAAGAAAGAATCAAGAATTCATTTCCTGATCAAATTCTTGAAGTATTTCAAATCTTGAATTCTTCGATCTTTAACTTTCTTTTTCTCTTATCTTTCTCGATTCTCAGGCTTACAGTGATAAACAAAGATCACCAAATGACTCGTAGTTTCTTTGTCACACTCTTTCTTTGATGGGTTGATCTATCCACACTCTCTCATAAGGTTTGTTTTTGTTTTTGTGTGTTCTTTTCTTGCATGCTTGGATTTGATATGTGAATTTGAAAGTGGTTATTTAACTAATTGACTAACGTAGTCTCTTTTCAGTGTATAATAGTTTTTCCAAGAAAATCTCTATCAATCAAATGGCGACGTACTTTCATGGCAATCCTGAAATCCAAGCATCCGCAGAAGGTCTTCAGACACTTGTTTTAATGAACCCTACTTATGTCCAATACTCCGATACACCACCTCCACCTTCTAACAACCTAGTTTTCCTCAATTCCGGCACCAACCACCTTTCTCCGCCACCACATCTTTCTCACGCGCCACCTAACACTCAACAATTCGTCGGTATCCCTTTAGACCCTACTTCTCATCATGATGCTTCTGCTCTGCATGGACTTGTTCCACGAATTCATTACAATCTTTACAACCCAATTGACCCATCTTCGGCTGCGCGTGAAATTCCACGCGCTCAGCAAGGACTGTCTTTAAGCCTTTCATCTCAGCAACAGCAACAGCAGCCGCCACCGCCACCAGGTTATGGGTCGCAGGCTCAAGCCGTGTCAGGTGAAGATATGCGAGTTTCAGGCGGGTCTGTATCGTCCGGTTCAGGTGTTACAAATGGGGTGTCAGGTATGCAAGGGGTTTTGTTGAGCTCTAAGTACTTAAAGGCTGCTCAAGAACTTCTTGATGAAGTTGTCAACGTTAACAGTAATGAAATCAAGAATGAATTGTCCAAGAAAGCTAATGGGATTAGCAGTAACAATAGCAACAAAATGATTGGAGAATCATCAGGTGGTGATGGGTCAGCCGGTGGAGACGCCGGCGGTGGTAAGCGCGCAGCAGAGCTTACCACGGCAGAGAGGCAAGAAATTCAGATGAAGAAGGCCAAGCTTATTAGCATGCTTGATGAGGTATGTTGTTAATATATAATATTATATTTAATCATGGACTATTATCAAATTATGTTTACAAGTTGGTGACTACTAGTAAATATTAGCCAAGAAAGAAGATTAGCAATTTTAAATTGGGTCTCTATCATTAATAGATATCCATAAAAAGAAAAATTGAGTTCAAAATTTTCAAAATGTGGAGTTCTTTTCATTTAGTAGCATTTTCAAGTTGTTGAATGAAGCGATTTCAAGAAGTCACTTTCTTGAAAGCATATGATTTTCACTAAAAAACATTACTTTTTCTTGAATTGAAAGAAAACAATTGTTGAATTTAATTTCAAGAAACAAGAATTGGGTTTTGTTTTTTTCGTTTTAAATAATTGACTGTTAATTTTTCTTGTAAAGGTGGAGCAAAGGTACAGACAATATCACCACCAGATGCAGATAGTAATTTCCTCATTTGAACAAGCAGCAGGAATTGGTTCTGCGAAAACATACACAGCTCTTGCACTTCAAACAATCTCAAAACAATTCAGGTGCTTAAAAGATGCAATAACAGGTCAAATTAAAGCTGCAAACAAAAGCTTAGGCGAAGAAGATTGCCTTGGAGGAAAACTTGAAGGTTCAAGGCTTAAATTCGTCGATCATCATCTTCGACAACAAAGAGCTCTTCAACAGTTGGGAATGATCCAGCACAATGCTTGGAGACCCCAAAGAGGATTGCCTGAACGTTCAGTTTCAGTTCTTCGCGCTTGGCTGTTCGAGCACTTCCTCCATCCGTAAGTAGCATACATATATATATATATATGTACAACTCAAAAGAATTCTATTCATTTTCTCATTTATTTATAAACTTGTTTTTCAGTTATCCCAAGGATTCTGATAAGCGTATGCTAGCTAAACAGACTGGACTCACTCGGAGTCAGGTATGCTTAAGATCCTGCAATTTTCTACCTTTCTGCTGTGAAAGAATTTCTTACAGTTGAATGTTCTGTTTTTTTTTTTTTTATTATTATTATTATATAGGTGTCTAATTGGTTTATAAATGCTCGAGTTCGACTTTGGAAGCCAATGGTGGAAGAAATGTACATGGAGGAAATAAAAGAGCAAGAAAGGAATGGGTCGGATGACAAAAAAAGCAAGAGCGAGCAGAAGGAAAATTCTACTTCAAAATCAGTTGGGCATGAGAAAGGTTCAGTTAATGAGAATCAGACTAAAAGCTTCAAGTCCTTAGACAGTTCGACAAACCAGAATGCTCCTGCAATTTCTACGTCTCCTGTAGCAGGAAATGTACGAAACCAGTCAGGATTTTCGCTCATAGGATCATCAGAATTGGAAGGATTAACACAGGCAAGTCCAAAAAGACACAGAAGCACTGAACTGATTCAATCTCCAAATAGCGTTCCTTCCATAAACATGGATGTTAAGCCTGGTGAGACTAATAATGAGCAGATTTCGATGAAATTTGGTAGTGAAAGGCAGAGTAGAGATGGATATTCATTCATTGGTGCGCAAACTAACTTCATTGGAGGATTTGGTCAGTACCCAATTGGAGAACTCGGAAGGTTTGATACAGAACAACAATTCACACCACCAAGGTTTTCAGGAAATGCTGTTTCGCTTACGCTCGGTCTTCCCCACTGCGAAAACCTGTCGCTATCAGCAACGCATCAGACATTTCTTCCCAATCAGAACATTCAATTGGGAAGAAGAGTAGAAATGGGCGAACCCAATGAATTTGGAGGGATTAACACATCAACACCTCACTCTTCAACTGCATATGACAGCATCGATATTCAGAACAGAAAGAGGTTTGCAGCGCAATTGCTGCCAGATTTTGTGGCCTGATGGTGATGGTGATGATGATGATGAATTAGTGTAAGGCCATGAAACAAGTTTCAGAATCTCTTTTCACTATTTCTTGCTGTTCCAAACTATTAGTAGGGAACAAGGGATAATGCAATGGTAGTGTAAAGAAAGAAGAACAATTTTACATAGTATAGGTCCTATACATTTGGCAATAGAGAACCATTTGAGTTCTTAGACAGTTTAGGATTTGAGAATATATGGGTTGAGGATTGTATATTATTTTTGTAAGTTTTGAAAATGTCATAAGAATTAGTTATTGGGGTATACTAATATATTGATTGTGAAAAAAATGTGGTTTCGAATGTGTATTTCATCAAATAAAGGGTATCAGGAACCATATAAATTGCTCATTTTCGTTTCCAGGAAATCAAGATTCAAATTTGGATGGTTTTTTTATTTTCTACAATTTTAGGATACAAGGTAAAACTATCTCTTACAGGATCAAAGTGTCCCTAGATTTTTATAGGAATCCTTTTCTTAATGTACTTTGAGATCTGTGATGTGTGGGCTTCTTGAACCATCAGTATCACATGTCCTATTCAGACCAAGGTCAGACAGACAAGTCGCCATTGCTGCAAATTATAGTTTTCTGATGCCAAACAATGAGATAAGATGGTTGGTCTGGGGAACCCCATAAACGCCTTCTGCTCCAGAAGTAAGAAAGAAACCAAGGCAGCAAAAATGAAGTCAGCAAGAGTGAGATATTATATATACACATCAGTAAGAAAGAAACCAAGGCAGCAAAATGAAGTCAGCAAGAGTGAGATATTATATATACACATCAGTAAGAAAGAAACCAAGGCAGCAAAATGAAGTCAGCAAGAGTGAGATATTATATATACGCAAGAGTGAGATATTATATATACACATCAGTAAGAAAGAAACCAAGGCAGCAAAATGAAGTCAGCAAGAGTGAGATATTATATATACACATCAGTAAGAAAGAAACCAAGGCAGCAAAATGAAGTCAGCAAGAGTGAGATATTATATATACACATCAGTAAGAAAGAAACCAAGGCAGCAAAATGAAGTCAGCAAGAGTGAGATATTATATATACACATCAATATGTTTCAAAATCATTGGCTTGAAGAAGAAAAAGAAAGTAATTATTGTTTACTAGAATATAAAATATACAAAAGGGTCAGGTATACCAAAGATATCCAGTTTTTTTTCTTTTATATATATATATATATATATATATATACATAGATTGCTTGTTTGGCAAAGATATTGAAATCTTTGACCTAAATTAATATTTATTATATGACTAGCATCGATAAAAGTCCTCTACTATTTCTCTATCCTTCTTGTTAAGGTCACTTTCATTTTGAACTGAAAGTTCAAATTTACTAAAACCAGTGGCTATCCTACTGGCATTAGAATATGCCCAGTCGGCCCAAGCAAAGACAGAGGAGGAAATATTCTATGCTAGGTTTTGGCTGAGGACGTGGTACCATGCGAATAATACATCTCATGACCGTCATTATCTTCTCGAGAATAGCAATAACAAGAAGATAACCCACAAACATACATTTCTCCAATCTAATGAATTCTCACTAAAATTCTAATTCCTACCAAATAAATAAGTGCGAAATTTGCGTAAGTTAATTTGATAGTACAGTAAGATTGCACAAGCTTTTACTATTTTAGGGAAAAGATAGCAGAAATATGCATCTTCTATTCTTTAGTTGTTCCAGAATTTCTGATATTCACAATCATTGTTTTTACAATCAAATGGATCGTATAACTATATAATCTGCAAAATCCTAGAATAAATCCACCAAATACAGTTCTTGTTTCAGTGGAACTTTCTTCCTATTACAAGTTTAATATATGCAGATAAAAGGAAACAAAAGAGTTACTTGATGCTAGCTTAAGTAAGATCTGTCTAACTCTATGCCTCGTGAAACTATGGAAAGAGGTCATATGAAATTATCAACTTGTGTTGATCATATCATGGTTTCCTTTTATATCAGCTAGTCTTCTCTTGGCAACCTTGGACCTGTAACACCACACCTCAAATGCCTCAGTAAAGTCCGGATAGTGAATATGCTCATTCCCCAACCATTCAGTCAAAATCTCTGCCTGGTCTCCAGAAGGTAATGCAAGAACTATTGAAACAAACGAGGATTCCAAGGACTGCCACTGCTCGGCATCGATCTTAAGCCCAGTATCCTCATAGTTAGTTGTCACAGAATCAATAAAAGGCTTCGTGACCCTCACAAATGGAAGCCAAACCTTCACCATATGAAGCCGTTTCGCAGTTGGCAAAATAACAGTGCCATATCCTATTGCTTCCAAAACCTTTGCCGCCACCTCAATAACCTTCAACTTTATCTCAATTATTTCAACAGCTGTGCATGCTTGCTCAACAACCTGAAGTATCTTATCTGATGAATCTACCCAACTGTAGACAAATTCAAACATGATTTCCAACTTACTTAAAATCTGACATGCCCATGACATATCTGATAAATAAGATTGAAGTGATTGTACTCTCCCTGACTCTGAAACTGATTCCACAGATTTACACAATAAATCGTCCAATAGTTTGTTAAATCTGGAGAAGAGCCCTTTCAAACATTCTTTTACAACGGATTTTATCTCATCGTCAGCTGTTAATAGAGGGGCATCATCATCTTCTGTGAGCATGTATTCAAGCTGCTCCTGTGCAGACGTTTTCAGATCATTCATGACTGAAGCAGGTGATGATGTAGCAAATTGAATGGCAGACAGAAAAACCCTCCTTATTAATAATGGATTGACTGGTTGGAGACGGGCAAGAATTGGTTCCGCTTGTGATCCCATGCGTGGTATGATCCTTAAGATCTCCTGCTCCTCAGCTTCTTCCCAAGGGACTGCTTCCAAGAAATTCACACAACCAGAAACAATTTTCGGCGAGCCAAGCTCAACAGCAACCCGCAGAATGCCAAGGGCATTCTTCACACCATGCCATATATCATCTGATGAGCCATCTATAGCAACATACAGAAGCCGAAGAACAAGTAGGCCAGTTCTCAGAAAGACGGTCACCAAAGTATTTGCTCTTCTCTACCAGGATGAGAGAATGACAGTAAAACCACTCATCTCGGCCTTCCTGTGTTCGTAGCCTGACAACAACATCACTAGTTGATCGGTCACCAATCCAGCTCAGTGCCTTTATTTAATTAACCAAAAAATAAAAGCAAATATAAATCAATTTCAAGAAGTTGAATGATAACACTATGAATCTATGAAAAAACTGAAAAAAGAGTACAAGACAATATTCTGTTTGTCCTATTAAAGCATGGTTAGTAGAATGAAATGTTAGTCATTAACCTTTGGTCCAGTTATTGCATTCAATTATGATCTATTAGATGTATCGTTAGTGTGGTTCAACAAGAGTCATTACAAGAGGGAGAATAGGTAGGGGAACAGAACAAAGAAAAACAAACAATGCAATAGCTACTCACTAGGCATTCATTCCCCCAAAGCATCTAAAATCTAAAGGCTACAACAATGCAATGCAGAAAGTTAAATCTCCAAGACTTTAACTCTTGTACAACTTCATTGCAATTATGGAGAAATAATATGTTAATATAATAAAAACCGACGAAGGATCCCTTCTCTCTTAAGGAACAAATAAAAGACCATCACCAAGGTTTTCCCAAAGGACAGATGAGAAATGCTAATGTTGCATTCGGATGGCAAATTTCAAACTCAGAATTTGAACTTCAAACATTTATAAAACAGGATTTGGACTTCAAAAATTTAAAAGAAGAAAAAAGAAAAAAGAAAAAAAAAAAAATTGAACTGAACCTTAAAGAAGCATATACAAATCTCTATTCATTTCATCCAACTTAAGAAAATTTATATATCATAGAAACTAAGATCAATGTTTAATTCAAATCTCTGTTCATTTGCAATCCTCACATATCCAAGCATAACCTTAAAAGAAATGCAAAAATATTCACATTCTAAAATTGTAGAAAATTATTAACAAGAATTGAATGGAAAAACTTACAGTAGACCCCATAAAAGCAACCTGAACTAACAAAAATCTGTCCTCATTATGGCTTCGGCAAAAGAGTGAGAATCTGCAAGCAAAATATGTAGAACTGTATGGTTAAAATAGTTGATTAACGAAATTAGTAAAACTAGAAATTTCAACTTGAGCTGCATTTGTGTTTTGAACAAGAAACTTAAGTGCAACAAACTGCAGAAATCTAATCTGAGAAACTCAAAGGAATTACAGAAGAAAATGATGTAAAAAGAATAATCCGTTTCTACTGCACCACTCAACTAAGTTTCCAAGATAACCATAATATCATATAACACATTTCCATTATCCCTAGAATCAGTAACCTAAGTGCTTGTTAATTGCATACCTTATCAAAACATAGAACTCATCATAAGCTTAAATTGATCCGAGATTCATCCAAAATCGAAAGTTAAACATTCAAGCCCAAGTTTTGCCGATAACCTATTGAAGTTAATTTTTACCCTAGCTCCTCCAATATGGCATAGATTTCCCTTGTTTTGGGATGTGAACCATCATGAGATGTGAAGACGTGGACTAGACCATCAACTTCTATCCAGCTACAACCAGGCTCTTTCTTAACACCCTTAGTAGACATCAAAGCCCTTATTTTTTTAACCTCATCCCACCTACCTTTGGCCGCAAAAATGTTTGATAGCAATATATAACTGGAGTCCATACTGGGTTCAAGTTCAAATAGTTTCTCAGCTGTTCCGAAGTTTCAATAGTTTCTCAGCTGCCTCCGTTCACCCAAGTCAACATTCCCATGCAATTTACATGCTCCAAGAACAGTCTCCCCAGATCAGGAATATGGTGTTAGCTTCATTTTGTCAATGAAGACCTCAACCTCACTGAATTTTCCTGCTCGACCAAGAATCATCACCATACAAGCATGAATGCTGCCAATCGAAGGATTGATCCCATAAGGCTTTGCGCATCAAGTTAAAAAAATCGTTTTCTGCTCTTCTACCAACCCATGTACGCTCAAGTGGCAAAGAAACACTTAAGAAAGTGATCTCAATCAAGGCAACCAAATGCCTTCATCTAACATCATCTGAAGGCTTCAAAGAGCATTCTTTTCCCTTGCCCATGTTGTGAGTATCTGTGAGTATCCAGATATAATTGTATTCCATGAGATTGTATCCCGTGAAAACAAGCCCTTAAAAATGGCCTCAGCATCTTTTATGCACCCACATTTCCCATACATGTCAACAAGTGCACTAGCAACATATAGATCACCAAAATGCCCAGACTTAATTGCCACGGAATGCAGCTGCTGCCCATTTCCCAAGGTTGCTATATGGGAGCATCCGCTTAAACAGCTGGCAAGAGTGAACTCATTAGGCTTCATACCCTCTCTTAGCATCTCTACTAAGTACTTCACAGCATTTTCTGCATAATCAGTTTGTGCATAACCAGAGATGATGACTGTCCAAGAGAAGAGATCCCTATTAGCTAATCTATTGAAAACTACATCTGCATCCTCCAAGCATCTACTTTTTGCATACATGTCAATGAGACCTGTTCCAATGAAATCATTACCATCAAGGCTGTTCTTTATGATATGAGCATGTACTTGCCTTCCAAAGCGCACATCCAAAAGACTGGTACAAGACCTTATTACACCAATAAATGTGTACATATTGGGCTTGAGACCTTTCATAAGCATCTGGTAGAAGATTCTTGGCCCTTCATTTGGCCCTTCATCAAAATTTTAAGGTCATAGAAACCAGATAAAAGGGAATTCCATGAAAAACTAAATCCTGATTTGGTCATTTCTCTCGAACACTTGGACAACCAAATCTTGCACACATCCACTTTTTCAATGTACATCATGGAATCAATGCATTGCCAACTGAATTCTCAGATTCCAGCCGCATAACTTGTAAAACACAAGAATGAATACCTTTGACCAAAGCGGCAGTTCACCCATAGTTGTAGCAGCAACTTAACAAACACTAGCAAGGCTAAACTGATTAGGTTTAACTTCCTGCGACATCGCATCAGATGAAAATACCTTAGCTGCTTCATGGCTATGGCCCTGTTGATCCAGGCCAGTAAATCATTGCAACTCCCAGGTAACGACATCAGGGTCTTTTATCCTGCTGAATACTTTTAATGCATCATATGCCAACCCACACTTGGAGTACATGTCAACAAGACTACAACCCAGAAATTCATCAAGTTCACACCCACTCCTGATAGCTAAAGAATGCAAAATCTTCCCTGCTTGCAGATTTCCTGAGTTAGCACAGCCCTTTAACACAATTGATAGAGTGAATTTACTAAAGTGCATTCCACATTCTGTCATCTGAATAAACAACTTCAGCACCTCCTTCCCATCGCCCTTTTGAGCATAACCATTAAGTAAGGCATTCCATGACACATCATTCTTCTCCGGCATATCAAAAAACACACTATCAGCAAGCTCTACCTCATCACACTTTGCATAAAGGTCAACAAGAGTAGAACCAACAAACAAATCAACAAATCTGATAACAACCCAGCTTTTATTGCTTCTACATGAACCTGCTTTCCAAATTCTATGTTCAAGCACATAGAACATGCTTTCAACACAGTCGCCAAGGCAAACTCATTGGTCATTATATTTTCCTTTCTCATTTCACAATAAAGACTAGCACCATTACTTCCAAACCCTTTACTCACACATCCTGCAATTAGAGCAGTCCATGACACAACATCTTGTTCAGACATATCATCAAACACCTTACGTGCAGACACTAAGCTCCCACATTTTACATAAAAATTAATCAAAGAAACCAATAAATGAGAATCTGGCTCTAACCCACTTCTAATCATATTCCCATGAATTGCCTTTCCCTCAACAAATGTCTTTTTTGAAGCACACTCCCGTAACATCCCGGAATATCGCTTTAATCCCTCTTTTGCAGATCGTTTCATTTCATAATTTGTTTCAGTTTGATTATTCATTGACCACTGAGGCCTTGAAAACTTTCTGGGTATCTTTCTATTAACCTCCTGAAGGAGAAACGGAGACGTTTGGATATCAGTAGTTGCAACTGGAGCAGCAGAAAATACAAAGTTCACTCTTAAAGAAAGAAACTTTGAAGCTGAATTTGTATGGGTATTGTTTCGCAATTTCATTGAAGAAACAGACTTTGAGCGATTGATCAAAAAGAAGCATCCAAAAGGTGGCGAAGATGGAATACGCATTTTCTGGGCAACAAGTTTGGATTCCATGAGTTCCAACACTTGGATTCACTTCCAGGATCGGTTTCCCCGGGTCAAATGCATCTAATGCGTTCAACTGCAAAGTATTTTCTCTGTAATTCATTGTGCGTTCAACTGCAAAGTATTTTCTCTGTAATTCATTGCTGAATGGAAAAGTTTTCATGTCAGGGGAAAATACTTCTCTATCAGGCAGAAATAATTCTCCGCGACAATAAATTTCTCTTTCAGGCAGAAACGATTCTCTGCGGGGCAAAAACGTTTCCCTGTCGGGGAAAAAATAAGTTCTCAACTAGACATTGCGAGGATACAGAGACATTAAGACATGAAGGAATAATGTGAAGTGGGTCTATCTTAATATACCACAAAAAAAAAAAAGTAATATATATGGAAGGAAAGAAACTATGTAAAAATTATCTAGAACAAGAAAACCCACGTACAGATTAGACGAACATTTTGACTCGCACTAATCGAACCCACCAAGTACCTAATTCTTTAGGCAAATAATATAAACAAGAAAAAAAAATTAACAAAACAAGTGCATTTCCCATTTGTGAAATAATGAGGATTTACAAATAAAGCAACAGTGGGTGTATAAAACATAATTCCGTTTCTGCTACAAGTTTGTCGAACTAGAAGTATAGGATGCACGGAAACGGCAACTTTGCCAACTTCTATGGCCTTTCCGGTTTAAGAAAACGCTTCCAACAAGGAACCCGGCTGACACTGGCCTGAAACCTTTCGGCCCATGTCTGTAATATCGAAAAATTTGGAAAAATGGGACTGAAACGGTTTGGAAATGCGTTTCTTGAAAAAAAAAAAAAAAAAATTCTCCCCATTTCAAATTGAGTTCGGTTTATTAAAGAAGCAAAGCGCGTTCCAGTTTCAACAACAAAAAAAGAAAAAAGAAAAGAAAAAAAATAGAACCTGTTGAGCGGCGACAACAAACAGCGAAGACCACGACGATAGAAACTGTTGAGCGGTGAGCCAGCGAAAGAGTCGGTCGATCTCTGTCTCAGTACTAGTCCAGGCCAGCTTTCTTTCTTAATTTCTCACCCTTTTTGAATCAGTCGGTGGCCTGGCTTTTCTTTTTTGGGGGTTAGGTTTTCTGTCTCTAAGCGGCAAAAAGCCCCAAATTTGATTTGATACATATTATTGGGTTTGCTGATTCGATTCATATTGTTCATGGCCTTTGTCTTACTAATGGGCTCAGGACGGATTTATCCTCTCCTTCTGTTTTCGGTTTTCGTAAGCTTTTCGATTTTTACTATTTTGATGTTTTTAACTGAAAAAATCTATAATCAAGTACATTTATTTATGTGGATAGTAGTAGGAGTAAGTCTTTTTTCTTTTTTCCTTTTTATTATAAAAGGGGTGAGCAAGCTCACAATAAATTAACTATAAGTTTTCAAATGAGAAACTCCACTATCATCACGAAGAAGCCATTAAGACGAATGTCCAGGCGGAAAAGACTCTGCTAAATTAGCTATCAATCTGTTGTGTGATGGATAGTAGGTGCAATTTGATTCAAATGGAGCTCACCTTTTGCCATATAAGCAAATGATATAGTAATGTAGGGTCCGTTCGATTTCAAATTGAAATCGAACTGAAATGGAATTGCCATATAAGCAAATGATATAGTAATGTAGGGTCCGTTCGATTTCAAATTGAAATCGAACTGAAATGGAATCGATTAAAATTAGTACTAAATCGTAGTCAACTGTTCTGATATTAAAATCGTAAACGAAATATGTGAACTTAAGGATCAGTTTCGATTCTTTATTTTTTGAAATCAAAATCAGAGATTTTAGTTTAAAATCGGCAATTCCAGCTTGAAACTATGAAAAACATGTTCTTAAAAAAAACTCCCAACTTATTTTTTTGATTTTGGCCTAATGATAAAAAAATCTTGAACTTTGAACGTTTTAACCGATTTAATCAATTTTTTTAACTTTATCAATTAATTTATGTTACTTATTTTTTAATAACAATTGTGACCTCCGTAAGACTTCGTTAGAAAAATATTGACGTGTTCGTTAAATGCTTACAACACAGTAGCTGACTGAGATTCCCACTAAGCACTGACAATTGCCCCCTTATACAAAATGACGCTATTTTTAACAGACATCTCAACCCTGAAGCTTAACAACAAAACGACGTTGCCTCCATCTATCTACCCTAAATCTAAACCAGAAAAACGAGAGCATCTTCTCCCCCTCTCTAAACCCCAATTGGAAACGATGTCGCTCTCCCTAAATCTAAACCAGAAAAACGAGAGCAACCAGAAAAACGAGAGCATCTTCTCACATTATTCCTTCATGTCTTAATGTCTCTGTATCCGCGCAATGTCTAGTTGAGAACTTATTTTTTCCCGACAGGGAAACATTTTTGCCCCGCAGAGAATCGTTTCTGCCTGAAAGAGAAATTTATTGTCGCGGAGAATTATTTGTACCTGATAGAGAAGTATTATCCCCTGACATGAAAACTTTTCCATTCAGCAATGAATTACAGAGAAAATACTTTGCAGTCGAACGTATTAGATGCATTTGACCCGGGGAAACCGATCCTGGAAGTGAATCCAAGTGTTGGAACTCATGGAATCCAAACTTGTTGCCCAGAAAATGCGTATTCCATCTTCGCCACCTTTTGGATGCTTCTTTTTGATCAATCGCTCAAAGTCTGTTTCTTCAATGAAATTGCGAAACAATACCCATACAAATTCAGCTTCAAAGTTTCTTTCTTTAAGAGTGAACTTTGTATTTTCTGCTGTTCCAGTTGCAGCTACTGATATCCAAACGTCTCCGTTTCTCCTTCAGGAGGTTAATAGAAAGATACCCAGAAAGTTTTAGAAAAGATACCCAGAAAGTTTCCAAAGGCCTCAGTGGTCAATGAATAATAAACCTGAAAACAAATTATGAAAATGAAACGATCTGCAAAAGAGGGATTAAAGCGATATTCTGGGTATGTTGCGGTGAGTGTGCTTCAAAAAAGTACAATTTGTTGAGGGAAAAGGCAATTCATGGGAATATGATTAGAAAGTGGGTGTACGAGCCAGATTCCATTTATTGGTTTTCTTTGATTAATTTTTATGTTAAAATTGTGGGAGCTTAGTGTCCTGCACGGCAAGGTGTTTTGAATGATATGCCTGAACAAGATGTTGTGTCATGGACTGCTCTAATTGCAGGATGTGTGAGGAAGGGTTTGGAAAGTGAAATGGTGCTAGTCTTTTATTTGTGAAAATGAAGAAAGGAAATATAATGACCAATGAAGTTTGCTTGGCCACTGGTGTTTGAAAAGCATGTTCTTGTGCTTGAACATATAGAATTTGAAAGCAGGTTCATGTAGAAAAGCAATAAAAGCCTGGGTTGTTATCTATTTGTTTGTTGGTTCTACTCTTGTTGACCTTTATGCAAAGTGTGATGAGGTAGAGCTTGCTGATAGTGTGTTTTTTGATATGCCGGAGAAGAATGATGTGTCATGGAATGCCTTACTTAATGGTTATGCTCAAAAGGGCGATGGGAAGGAGGTGCTGAAGTTGTTTATTCAGATGACAGAATGTGGAATGCACTTTAGTAAATTCACTCTATCAATTGTGTTAAAGGGCTGTGCTAACTCAGGAAATCTGCAAGCAGGGAAGATTTTGCATTCTTTAGCTATCAGGAGTGGGTGTGAACTTGATGAATTTCTGGGTTGTAGTCTTGTTGACATGTACTCCAAGTGTGGGTTGGCATATGATGCATTAAAAGTATTCAGCAGGATAAAAGACCCTGATACCCTGATGTCGTAGCCTGGAGTGCCAAATGAATTACTGGCCTTGATCACAAGGGCCATAGCCATGAGCAGCTAGGTATTTCATCTGGATCGATGTGGCAGGAGTTTAACACTAATCAGTTTAGCCTTGCTAGGTGTTGTTAGTGCTGCTACAACTATGGGTGAATGCGCTTTGGTCAAAGTTATTGCATTTCTTGTGTTTACAAGTATGGGCTGGAAATCTGAGAATTCAGTTGGAAATGCACTGATCCATGATGTACATTGAAAAGTGGATGTGTGCAAGATGGTGGTTCGCAAGTGTTCGAGAGAATGACCAATCAGGATTTTAGTTTGCATGGAATGGCCCTTTTATCTGGTTTCCTAAATGACCTTTAAAAAATTGTTCATGAAGTGAAGGGCCAAGAATCTTCTACCAGATGCTTATGAAAGGTCTCAAGCCCAATATGTACACATTTATTGGTGTAATAAGGTCTTGTACCAGTCTTTTGGATGTGCGCTTTGGAAGGCAAGTACATGCTCATATCATAAAGAATAGCCTTGATGGTAATGATTTCATTGGAACAGGTCTTGTTGACATGTATGCAAAAAGTAGCTGCTTGGAGGATGCAGATGTAGTTTTCAATAGATTAGCTAACAGGGATCTCTTCTCTTGGACAGTCATTATCTCTGGTTATGCACAAACTGATTATGCAGAAAATGCTGTGAAGTACTTAGTAGAGATGCTAAGAGAGGGTATGAAGCCTAATGAGTTCACTCTTGCCAGCTGTTTAAGCGGATGCTCCCATATGGCAACCCTGGGAAATGGGCAGCAGCTGCATTCTGTGGCAATTAAGTCTGGGCATTTTGGTGATCTATATGTTGCTAGTGCACTTGTTGATATGTATGGGAAGTGTGGGTGCATAAAAGATGCTGAGGCCATTTTTAAGGGCTTGTTTTCAAGGGATACAATCTCATGGAATACAATTATATCTGGATACTCACAATTATATCTGGATACTCACAACATGGACAAGGGAAGAATGCTCTTGAAGCCTTTCAGATGATGTTAGATGAAGGCATTGTGCCTGATGAGATCACTTTCTTAAGTGTTCTTGCCACTTGTAGCTACATGGGTTTGGTAGAGGAGGCAAAACGGTTTTTTAACTTGATGCGCAAAGCTTATGGGATCAATCCTTCGATTGAGCATCATGCTTGTATGGTTGATGTTCTTGGTCGAGCAGGAAAATTCAATGAGGTTGAGGTCTTCATTGACAAAATGAAGCTAACACCATATTCCTTGATCTGGGAGACTGTTCTTGGAGCATGTAAATTGCATGGGAATGTTGACTTGGGTGAACGAGCCGAGCTGCTGAAGAAACTGCTGAGAAACTATTTGAACTTGAACCCAGTATGGACTCCAGTTATATATTGCTATCAAACATTTTTGCGGCCAAAGGTAGGTGGGATGAGGTTAAAAAAATAAGGGCTTTGATGTCTACTAAGGGTGTTAAGAAAGAGCCTGGCTGTAGCTGGATAGAAGTTGATGGTCTAGTCCACGTCTTCACATCTCATGATGGTTCACATCCCAAAACAAGGGAAATCTATGCCATATTGGAGGAGCTAGGGCAAAAATTAACTTCAATAGGTTATAGGCAAAACTTGGGCTTGAATGTTAACTTTCGATTTTGGATGAATCTTGGATCAATTTAAGCTTATGATAAGTTCTACGTTTTGATAAGGTATGCAATTAACAAGCACTTAGGTTACTGTTTCTAGGGATAATGGAAATGTGATATATGATATTATGGTTATCTTGGAAACTTAGTTGAGTGGTGCAGTAGAAACAGATTATTCTTTTTACACCATTTTCTTCTGTAATTCCGAGTTTCTCAGATTAGATTTCTGCAGTTTGTTGCACTTAAGTTTCTTGTTCAAAACACAAACGCAGCTCAAGTTGAAATTTCTAGTTTTACTAATTTCATTAATCAACTATTTTAACCATACAGTTCTACATATTTTGCTTGCAGATTCTCACTCTTTTGCCGAAGCCATAATGAGGACAGATTTTTGTTAGTTCAGATTTTTGTTAGTTCAGGTTGCTTTTATGGGGTCTACTGTAAGTTTTTCCATTCAATTCTTGTTAATAATTTTCTACAATTTTAGAATGTGAATATTTTTGCATTTCTTTTAAGGTTATGCTTGGATATGTGAGGATTGCAAATGAACAGAGATTTGAATTAAACATTGATCTTAGTTTCTATGATATATAAATTTTCTTAAGTTGGATGAAATGAATAGAGATTTGTATATGCTTCTTTAAGGTTCAGTTCAAATTTTTTTTTCTTTTTTCTTCTTTTAAATTTTTGAAGTCCAAATCTTGTTTTATAAATGTTTGAAGTTCAAATTCTGATGTTAGCGTTTGAAATTTGCCATCCGAATGCAACATTAGCATTTCTCATCTGTCCTTTGGGAAAACCTTGGTGATGGTCTTTTATTTGTTCCTTAAGAGAGAAGGGATCCTTCTCCTTCGTCGGTTTTTATTATATTAACATATTTTTGAAATTTGCCATCCGAATGCAACATTAGCATTTCTCATCTGTCCTTTGGGAAAACCTTGGTGATGGTCTTTTATTTGTTCCTTAAGAGAGAAGGGATCCTTCGTCGGTTTTTATTATATTAACATATTATTTCTCCATAATTGCAATGAAGTTGTACAAGAGTTAAAGTCTTGGAGATTTAACTTTCTGCATTGCATTGTTGTAGCCTTTAGATTTTAGATGCTTTGGGGGAATGAATGCCTAGTGAGTAGCTATTGCATTGTTTGTTTTTCTTTGTTCTGTTCCCCTACCTATTCTCCCTCTTGTAATGACTCTTGTTGAACCACACTAACGATACATCTAATAGATCATAATTGAATGCAATAACTGGACCAAAGGTTAATGACTAACATTTCATTCTACTAACCATGCTTTAATAGGACAAACAGAATATTGTCTTGTACTCTTTTTTCAGTTTTTTCATAGATTCATAGTGTTATCATTCAACTTCTTGAAATTGATTTATATTTGCTTTTATTTTTTGGTTAATTAAATAAAGGCACTGAGCTGGATTGGTGACCGATCAACTAGTGATGTTGTTGTCAGGCTACGAACACAGGAAGGCCGAGATGAGTGGTTTTACTGTCATTCTCTCATCCTGGTAGAGAAGAGCAAATACTTTGGTGACCGTCTTTCTGAGAACTGGCCTACTTGCCAGATCATTGACTCACGGAATTGTGTTGAAGTGTATTGCCAAGAGTCAGACTTTGATCACCATGTCAATGTTCTTCGGCTTCTGTATGTTGCTATAGATGCCTCATCAGATGATATATGGCATGGTGTGAAGAATGCCCTTGGCATTCTGCGGGTTGCTGTTGAGCTTGGCTCGCCGAAAATTGTTTCTGGGAGCTTGGCTCGCCGAAAATTGTTTCTGGTTGTGTGAATTTCTTGGAAGCAGTCCCTTGGGAAGAAGCTGAGGAGCAGGAGATCTTAAGGATCATACCACGCATGGGATCACAAGCGGAACCAATTCTTGCCCGTCTCCAACCAGTCAACCAGTCAATGATCTGAAAACATCTGCACAGGAGCAGCTTGAATACATGCTCACAGAAGATGATGATGCCCCTCTATTAACAGCTGACGATGAGATAAAATCCGTTGTAAAAGAATGTTTGAAAGGGCTCTTCTCCAGATTTAACAAACTATTGGACGATTTATTGTGTAAATCTGTGGAGTCAGTTTCAGAGTCAGGGAGCGTACGATCACTTCAATCTTATTTATCAGATATGTCATGGGCATCTCAGATTGTAAGTAAGTTGGAAATCATGTTTGAATTTGTCTACAGTTGGGTAGATTCATCAGATAAGATACTTCAGGTTGTTGAGCAAGCATGCACAGCTGTTGAAATAATTGAGATAAAGTTGAAGGTTATTGAGGTGGCGGCAAAGGTTTTAGAATCTAAAGGATATGGCACTGTTATTTTGCCAACTGCAAAACGGCATCATATGGTGAAGGTTTGGCTTCCATTTGTGAGGGTCACGAAGCCTTTTATTGATTCTGTGACAACTAACTATGAGGATACTGAGCTTAAGATTGATGCCGAGCAGTGGCAGTCCTTGGAATCCTCGTTTGTTTCAATAGTTCTTGCATTACCTTCTGGAGACCAGGCAGAGATTTTGACTGAATGGTTGGGAAATGAGCATATTCGCTATCCGGACTTTACTGAGGCATTTGAGGTGTGGTGTTACAGGTCCAAGGTTGCCAAGAGAAGACTAGCTGATATAAAAGGAAACCATGATATGATCAACACAAGTTGATAATTTCATATGACGTTGATAATTTCATATGACTTCTTTCCATAGTTTCATGAGGCATAGAGTTAGACAGATCTCACTTAAGCTAGCATCAAGTAACTCTTTTGTTTCCTTTTATCTGCATATATTAAACTTGTAATAGGAAGAAAGTTCCACTGAAACAAGAACTGTACTTGGATTTATTCTAGGATTTTGCAGATTATATAGTTCTATGATCCATTTGATTGTAAAAACAATGATTGTGAATATCAAAAATTCTGGAACAAATAAAGAATAGAAGATGTATATTTCTGCGATCTTTTCCCTAAAATAGTAAAAGCTTGTGCAATCTTACTGTACTATCAAATTAACTTATGCAAATTTTGCATTTATTTATTTGGTAGGAATTAGTATTTTAGTGGGAATTCATTAGATTGGAGAAATGTATGTTTGAGGGTTATCTTCTTGTTATTGCTATTCTCGAGAAGATAATTACGGTCATGAGATGAATTATTCGCATGAGATGTATTAACTCTTGTACAACTTCATTGCAATTATGGAGAAATAATATGTTAATATAATAAAAACCGAAGAAGGATCCCTTCTCTCTTAAGGAACAAATAAAAGACCATCACCAAGGTTTTCCCAAAGGACAGATGAGAAATGCTAATGTTGCATTCGGATGGCAAATTTCAAACACTAACATCAGAATTTGAACTTCAAACATTTATAAAACAAGATTTGGACTTCAAAAATTTAAAAGAAGAACTTGGACTTTCAAAAATTTAAAACGTGAAGAAAAAAGAAAAAAAGAAAAAAAAAAAAAATTGAACGAACCTTAAGAAGCATATTACAAATCTCTATTCATTTCACCACTTAAGAAAATTTATATATATAGAAACTAAAGATATATATCATAGAAACTAAGATCAATGTTTAATTCAAATCTCTGTTCATTTGCAATCCTCACATATCCAAGCATAACCTTAAAAGAAATGCAAAAATATTCACATTCTAAAATTGTAGAAAATTATTAATAAGAATTGAATGGAAAAACTTACAGTAGACCCCATAAAAGCAACCTGAACTAACAAAAATCTGTCCTCATTATGGCTTCGGCAAAAGAGTGAGAATCTGCAAGCAAAATATGTAGAACTGTATGGTTAAAACAGTTGATTAATGAAATTAGTAAAACTAGAAATTTCAACTTAAACTGCGTTTGTGTTTTGAACAAGAAACTTAAGTGCAACAAACTGCAGAAACAGTAACCTAAGTGCTTGTTAATTGCATACCTTATCAAAACATAGAACTCATCATAAGCTTAAATTGATCCAAGATTCATCCAAAATCGAAAGTTGACATTCAAGCCCAAGTTTTGCCTATAACCTATTGAAGTTAATTTTTACCCTAGCTCCTCCAATATGGCATAGATTTCCCTTGTTTTGGGATGTGAACCTTCATGAGATGTGAAGACGTGGACTAGACCATACGTGGACATAGACTATCAACTCTATCCAGCTACAAACCAAGGCTCTTTTCTTACACACCCTTTTAGTAAGACATCAAAGCCCTTATTTTTTTAACCTCATCCTACCCCTACCTTTGGCCGCAAAAATGTTTGATTTAGCAATATATAACTGGCAGTCCATTACTGGGTTCAAGTTCAAATAGTTTCTCAAGACAGCTCGTTCTACCAACGTCGCTCGTTCACCCAAGTCAACATTCCCATGCAATTTACATGCTCCAAGAACAGTCTCCCAGATCAAGGAATATGGTGTTAGCTTCATTTTGTCAATGAAGACCTCAACCTCATTGAATTTTCCTGCTCGACCAAGAACATCAACCATACAAGCATGATGCTCAATCGAAGGATTGATCCCATAAGCTTTGCGCATCAAGTTAAAAAACCGTTTTGCCTCCTCTACCAAACCCATGTAGCTACAAGTGGCAAGAACACTTAAGAAAGTGATCTCATCAGGCACAATGCCTTCATCTAACATCATCTGAAAGGCTTCAAGAGCATTCTTCCCTTGTCCATGTTGTGAGTATCCAGATATAATTGTATTCCATGAGATTGTATCCCGTGAAAACAAGCCCTTAAAAATGGCCTCAGCATCTTTTATGCACCCACACTTCCCATACATATCAACAAGTGCACTAGCAACATATAGATCACCAAAATGCCCAGACTTAATTGCCACTAGATCACCAAAATGCCCAGACTTAATTGCCACGGAATGCAGCTGCTGCCCATTTCCCAAGGTTGCTATATGGGAGCATCCGCTTAAACAGCTGGCAAGAGTGAACTCATTAGGCTTCATACCCTCTCTTAGCATCTCTACTAAGTACTTCACAGCATTTTCTGCATAATCAGTTTGTGCATAACCAGAGATGATGACTGTCCAAGAGAAGAGATCCCTATTAGCTAATCTATTGAAAACTACATCTGCATCCTCCAAGCATCTACTTTTTGCATACATGTCAATGAGACCTGTTCCAATGAAATCATTACCATCAAGGCTGTTCTTTATGATATGAGCATGTACTTGCCTTCCAAAGCGCACATCCAAAAGACTGGTACAAGACCTTATTACACCAATAAATGTGTACATATTGGGCTTGAGACCTTTCATAAGCATCTGGTAGAAGATTCTTGGCCCTTCATCATGACAATTTTTAAAGGTCATAGAAACCAGATAAAAGGCATTCCATATGAAACAAATCTTGATTGGTCATTCTTCTCGAACACCCTTGGACACCATCTTGCACCACATCCACCTTTTCATCGTAACATCCATGATAGTGCATTTTCCAACTGAATTTCTCAGATTCCGCCCATACTTGTAAAACCAAGAATAATACTTTGACCAAAGCGCAGTTCACCCATAGTTGATAGCAGCACTCAACAACACTAAGCAAGGCTAAACTGAATTAGGGTTAACTCCTGCACATCGCATCAGATGAAATACCTTAGCTGCTTCATGGGACATTATAGCCCTGTTGATCAAGGCCAGTAATCATTGCCACTCCAGGCTACAACATCAGGGTCTTTCAGGGTCTTTTATCCTGCTGAATACTTTTAATGCATCATATGCCAACCCACACTTGGAGTACATGTCAACAAGACTACAACCCAGAAATTCATCAAGTTCACACCCACTCCTGATAGCTAAAGAATGCAAAATCTTCCCTGCTTGCAGATTTCCTGAGTTAGCACAGCCCTTTAACACAATTGATAGAGTGAATTTACTAAAGTGCATTCCACATTCTGTCATCTGAATAAACAACTTCAGCACCTCCTTCCCATCGCCCTTTTGAGCATAACCATTAAGTAAGGCATTCCATGACACATCATTCTTCTCCGGCATATCAAAAAACACACTATCAGCAAGCTCTACCTCATCACACTTTGCATAAAGGTCAACAAGAGTAGAACCAACAAACAAATCACAAAACAGATAACAACCCATGCTTTTATTGCTTCTACATGAACTCGATAACAACCCAGCTTTTATTGCTTCTACATGAACCTGCTTTCCAAATTCTATGTTCAAGCACATAGAACATGCTTTCAACACAGTGGCCAAGGCAAACTCATTGGTCATTATATTTTCCTTTCTCATTTCACAATAAAGACTAGCACCATCACTTCCAAACCCTTCACTCACACATCCTGCAATTAGAGCAGTCCATGACACAACATCTTGTTCAGGCATATCATCAAACACCTTGCGTGCAGACACTAAGCTCCCACATTTTACATAAAAATTAATCAAAGAAACCAATAAATGAGAATCTGGCTCTAACCCACTTCTAATCATATTCCCATGAATTGCCTTTCCCTCAACAAATGTCTTTTTTGAAGCACACTCCCGTAACATCCCAGAATATCGCTTTAATTCCTCTTTTGCAGATCGTTTCATTTCATAATTTGTTTCAGTTTGATTATTCATTGACCACTTAGGCCTTGGAAACTTTCTGGGTATCTTTCTATTAACCTCCTGAAGGAGAAACGGAGACGTTTGGATATCAGTAGCAGCAACTGGAGCAGCAGAAAATACAAAGTTCACTCTTAAAGAAAGAAACTTTGAAGCTGAATTTGTATGGGTATTGTTTCGCAATTTCATTGAAGAAACAGACTTTGAGCGATTGATCAAAAAGAAGCATTGAGTCGATTTGATAAAGAAGCAAAGCGCGTTCCAGTTTCAACAACTGTTGAGCGGTGAGTTGAGCGGTGAGCCAGCGAAAGAATCGGTCGATCTCTGTCTCAGTACTAGTCCAGACCAGCTTCCTTTCTTAATGTCTCACCCTTTTTGGATCAGTCGGTGGCCTGGCTTATCTTTTTTGGGGGTTAGGTTTTCTGTCTCTAAGCGGGAAAAAGCCCCAAATTTGATTTGATTCAAATTATTGGGTTTGCTGATTCGATTCATATTGTTCATGGGCTTTGTTTTACTAATGGGCTTAGGACGGATTTATCCTCTCTTTTTGTTTTCGGTTTTCGTAAGCTTTTCGATTTTTACTATTTTGATGTTTTTAACTGAAAAAATCTATAATCAAGTACATTTTTTTATGTGGATAGTAGTAGGAGTAAGTCTTTTTTCTTTTTTCCTTTTTATTAGAAAAGGGGTGAGCAAGCTCACAATAAATTAACTATAAGTTTTCAAATGAGAAACTCCACTATCATCGTGAAGAAGCCATTAAGACGAATGTCCAGGCGGAAAAGACTCTGCTAAATTAGCTATGAATCTGTTGTGTGATGGATAGTAGGTGCAATTTGATTCAAATGGAGCTCACCTTTTGCCATATAAGCAAATGATATAGTAATGTAGGGCTTTGCCATATAAGCAAATGATATAGTAATGTAGGGGTTTCATCGCGGTTACGGGTTTTCAATTGAAAAATCGAACTGAAATGGAATCGAATTTTAAACATTAGTTACCTAAATCGTGGATGAGGTCAACTATTCTTGATAATTAAAATCGTAAAGAAATATGTGAACTTAAAGATCAATTTCGGTTCCTTTTATTTTTTGTGAAATTAAAATCGAGATTTTGGTTTCAAAACCAGCATTCCAGTTCTGATTTGAAACTATGAAAAATTATTCTTAAAAAAAAACTCCAACTTATTTTTTTGGTTTTGGCCGCCCTATAATGATCAAAAATCTTGAATTTGGACATTTTAACCGATTTAACCAATTTTTTTTAATTTTATCAATTAATTTTATGGTACTTTATTTTTTAATTAACCAATTGTGACTTCCGTCCAGACTTGTTGGAATAACATATTGACGTGTCGTTAAATTGTTGACACACAAGACAGCTGGTTTTTTTTTTTTTTTTTTTCATTTTTTTGAAAATAAAACCTGACCCAGATTAACTCCTCTCATTTTGTCACTTTAATGCTGGATGGATGGATGGATGGATGGAGGAGTAATTATATATTTAATCTTGCAGGATGGATATATGAATATTAGAAAATTTACTTCATCTCAGGAGCATTAAATTCAAGAAATTAAGAATAGAAATAGTATATATTATTATTTTTGATAACTACTACAGGATTTACAAGATTTAATAATCTAGTAATAAAAGATAATTAAAGAACAATATATCATGAAGAAGATGTTGAAAGAAAGTGACAAGAAAAGAAGGTGGGTCTAAGTGAAATGAAAAAGCATATGTATATATAGTAAATGTTTTATGGGAAAAAAAAAAAAAAAAAAAAATTTTTAGGTTAAGTGTAGTTTATTCCACTGCATTCGTATGACTAGAGGTCTCTAAATATTGCGCTGAATATTTCACCATAATAGAGGTTTTAGGGTAATGGGTATAAAAAAACATGTTTGAGATAACTAAAGAAAAGTGACATTTGTATATTACAACTCATTCAAACTATTAATGCATGGTTATTTATGAAACAGATATGGATGAATATTTCACCATTTGATTATGGAATTGTGGCATCAAACAATTACGTTGGTGGACTGCCTGTTTTCTTTGATAATTGCGTCTCAGACAATATGTCATTAATTAAGATAAAAGGTTTGGCTAGGGAATGTGGGTACACAGATGTTGTAAAAATTGCTCTTCAAGTCCCAAACATGGCAGGACCTGTTTCCATAAGGTTGATGAATAATGACATAGATGTGTTAGAGATGGCTGAATATGGTAGAAAAAATGGTCAAATAACCATTTATATGGAGGGGATTGATGATGGTAGTCATGGAGAAAATGATAAAGTAGGTAATTTGCAAGAAGGTCATAATTAGAATTTGCAAGAAATTAATGTTGAAGGGAGTGATTTGCACAGTGTGAATGTGAGGGAAGGAAAGGACACTAATTTGCATAGTGTCAATGTGAGAGAAGGAGATGACACTTCCTCTGATGATTCTGATTATGTGCCTCCTGAAGAAGGCTTATCAAGTTCTGAAGATGAAGAATATCATTTGGCAAAGAGGAATAAAAAGAATTATAAACATGATTTTCTACAGGAAAAAGATGTTGGTGAGAATATAGTTCCAAGAAATAATGTGACTGCTGATCAGGTGCAATCTTCTGTGAATGAAGGAAGTAGTGGCTATATAAGTGTTTATGAAAAGACAGATAAAGATGTGATTACACCTCATAGTAGCAACAATGAGGTTGAAAAGAATAGGTTAACGAAGTGAAGGAGGAAGATTATTTATGACCCTCAATGTGATCATTCTAAGCTGAAGTTTACAATTGGGATGAGATTTACAATTCTTGAACAATTTAAATTTATTGTCCAAGAGTTTGCAATTGCAAATGGGTTCAATGTGAGATGGTATAAAAGCTGTTCTGAGAGGGCAGATGCTAGGAGTGCGCAAGGTTGCCCTTGGAGGGTATATGCTGCTAAGCTACAAAAGGAGAAGACTTTTGCTATGAAAATTCACAATGATGATCACAAATGTTTCAGGAGCCTAACAAATAGACAAACAACTGCAAAATGGATTGCAATAAAGCTTCTCCCCACATTTAGAAAGAAACCTGAATGGGAAGTGAAGGAACTATAAGATGAGTTGAAAGAGAGATATAGTTAATTTGACGATGTGTAATCGTAAAATGTTTCAGGAGCCTAACAAATAGACAAACAACTGCAAAATGGATTGCAATAAAGCTTCTCCCCACATTTAGAAAGAAACCTGAATGGGAAGTGAAGGAACTATAAGATGAGTTGAAAGAGAGATATAGTTAATTTGACGATGTGTAATCGTACTAGAAAGAAAGCTCAAGAAATGGTCAGGGGGTCTATTTGGAACATTGCAATGTTAAGATCATATGATGTTGAGTTGCCTCAAGCTGATACAAACGAGAGGTTTGAGTTTATTTTGAAGAAGGTGAAGTTGGTGCTTTTAAAAGGTATCATGTTGGATTCTCATGCCATGTGAAATCATTTAAAAAAGGATGTAGGCCCATTATTGGGCTTGATGGATGCTTTTTAAAGACAAGGTTAGGTGGGATTTTGTTGAGTGCAATAGGTAGAGACCAAATAATCAAATGTACCCAATAGATTGGGCTGTGGTGGAGATTGAATCTCAAGCAACTTGGACTTGGTTCTTAGCAATTATGTTTGAAGAATTGGGCTTAGGTGATGGGCTTAGTTGGACTTTTGTAAGTGACCAACAAAAGGTCTTTAGGGCTTTATTTCATTGCATTTTGGACTTTTCTTATGTTGCATTTTGGTATGAGCTTAAAATTGTGTATTATTTTCTCCTTGCCAACAAGGTCTTATCAATTCCATTCAAGAACTAGCTCCTTTTTTCTGAACATAGGAACTGCGCAAGTCATATGTATGCAAATTGGAAGAAGACTTATAAGGGTGAAGCTTTTAAGAAATTGTTCTGGCGAGCTGCAAGAGCAACCTATGTTGCAGAATTTAGGAGTGTAATGAAGGAACTCAAGGAATTAAATGTTGATGCACATGATACATTAATGAAGCAAAATCCTGAGAAATTTTGTAAATGCTACATTAATGCACTACCTAAGTGTGATGTCATCGAGAATAACTTATCTGAGACATTCAATGGGTACATCGTCAAAGCAAGATGTTTGCCTATTATATACATGTTAGAGGGAATTATTTGCAATTATTTGCAAAAGTAACACAACAAATGAACTAGACAAATTTATGATTTCATTAAGTCAATTTTCATTGTTCACATCCCAACCTAAAAGCAGATGCAAGCTAATTAAACATTACAAGTAACATTGCCAGCAAACAAACAATACACGTTAAACCTAGCTTCTCCTTGTAATCCAGCTTAGCCATTTCCATCTTCATTGAACTAATCTCACTTTGCAAAGCTTAGTTCTGTGCTTTAAAGTCTACCAAATCATCTTTTCTGTTTTTACATTTTTGCTCCAACTGTGCTATCTTTTCTACACTTAGTTCGTCCTTCTCCTTCATCAACTTGATTTGCTGCTCCAAGGACTACTTTTAACTTATCAAAAATCTTAGTACTTCCTCATCACGTGGGAGACTCTCAAGGTCAAACCACTCAAAAAACCCATAATCGTTATCTCTATCCTGTAAGAAACAAAATTCATAAACATACACAACCATTCTAGAAAACAAAAATCACAAAATGACTCAAAATAATACATAATCCCATTAGGTGTACACTTCTTTACCATCCAATATGAACAACAAAAGAAATGCCTCCCTGGATTACGAGAACTCTATGATGTATACAATCTAGCCCTGAGATTATGCCTGCAATCCACTCTCGCCCTCGAGCTCACAGTTATTTCTGTTGCTTGGCTCATTTCAACTCCATTCATCGAAGCCATCTGTAGATTTTGTTCAAAGAGGATACACAATCGATTTGAAGAAAAAATTAGGAGTAGATTACAAGTATATAATTTGTGTTGAAGAGAATGGATTAGTAGAAAGAATAGGTGCTCTACTTTTAAGGATTTAAGAATGTGCGAGTGATCGTTTCCAATTGGGGTTTAGAGAGAAGGACAAGACGTTGTTTTTCTAGTTCAGATTTAGGGTAGATAGATGGAGGCGGCGTCGTTTGTCGTTAAGGTTTAGGGTTTAGATGTCTGCTAAAAACGACGTCGTTTTTGTTTTACAAGGGGACATCATGAGCGCTTAGTGGAAATTTCAGTCAGCTGCTGTATTATCAGCATTTAATAGACACATCAACGTTTTCTGACAGAATTTGACGGAGGTCACAATTATTATTAAAAAATAAGTACCATACATTGATCGATAAAATTAAAAATTTTGGTTAAATCGACGCTCAAAGTTCAAGATTTTTTTTATCACTAGGCCTTTTGTTTTATTATAATTTTTTAAAGTAATTTTAAGATTTTTTATTAAATTGATTTAGTTTTTTATAATAATATTTACTATTATTATTTGTTCAAACTACAAATCTTTTAAAAAAATATTTTAAAAAATTTAAAATATATTATTTAATTTCAATTTAAAATTAGAAAAACAAAACGGATGGTTCCAAAATCATCTTATAAACCATCTTAAAGCGATTCGATTTCAATTCTAACTTTTTTATAATCAGAACCGATGATTTTGAAATCGAAATCAGTGGTTCTGAAACCATGGTCATATATATAGTAATGAGTTATTTACATTACAAACTCACATGTATTTTAATGGCAAAAAAAATTAAAAAAGGGATAGATTTATGGATTTGATATATTGCAAATTTTTAAGTAAATAAATTTTCTCTCAAAAAATTTTTTTAAAGATGAATAATTTATTATTTATATACGAGTGCGTATGTATGTAAGGTATGATGACTGAGAGTAATTTTTTCACATCATGAACTGAAAAAAAGAGAAAATAATTTTTAAGAAATAAGCATTGTTTTTTTGTTTCTTAAAAAAAAAAAACATGCAACTACAACAATTAACAAACAAGCCCTTAATTTTTCTAGTCCATTCTTCCTTTGTTGAAACCTTTTACACAGGATGAGAAATAATTTATATATATATATAATTATATAAAGATATAAAGAATCGAAAGCTCAAAATAATAAAAAAAACTAAAAAAAAAAGAGATAGAAATTAGTGAATGATTACAACATAATGCAGATATGAATTTAAATGGTTGATCGCTTCATGCAGTGCAAGCTATGATTATAGAAGGCTTTATCCAAATTAAGGGCTAAAGATTGACAGTTAGAAGTAAAAATATTTTTTTTGTTTACACTATTCTTTCAAAACATAATTATTTCAAAAGATTATTTTATTGCAATGGTAATTCAGTCTTCCAAGTGTTAATTTATACATTTGGTCCTCACGTTTAGTTCAATAGTCAGTGACACAAAATTACTGTGAATTGAATTATGACTAAACGCCTCTATATTGTCTAAGTCAGACGTAATTAAACATGCTAACAATAACTGATAAAAATAATTTTATCAATAACTATATTAGTTAATGACTACCAACTATTAATTTTTAGCACCTACCAATTAGCAATTAGGTTCAATTTCACACATTATACTTAATTTTATCATTGTTGCACATTGACATACCTAAACCTTAATTTGTAACACAAACATATCAAACATTAATTTGTAATGAAAACTTTGAAATCAAATTTTACTAGTCATGTACCTCTGCGATGCGTGAATTTTATAATTTTCTTAATCAAATTGAATTTAATTTTCAAGAAAATTATTGTAATTTATATGTGTGTTGCTTTAATTTAAATAATTTGCTTATGTAATTTTGATTAAACGATGAAAGGTAAAGTTATACGCTCCTTTTGAAATTCTTAACTAATGAACTAAAATATTAATAAGCACAATTAATTATTGTTAGCAAATTATTGTAATTGAACTGATATATTTAGTTAATTATTTATTTTTCTTTTTCAAATTTTCATATATTCAAATTAAATGAGATATGAGAATATTCAATTTTAATGAAAAAATTTTAGTGAATTAAAATTAATATTTTATTCTATTTATTAATGTACCTGTATTATTTAATTAATTTTATTGACTATGACTCTATTATAATTCTATTAATTTTTTATTACAGAAGAAAAACTATTTAATAAAAAAATTAATATTTATCAAATTGAAAAAATATTAATTATAATGAAATCCTCCATTATTTATTAGTTTGTAACTCCATTATTTAATAAAAAAATATTTTTTTATTAAATGCAAAAAAAAAAAAGATGAATTATAATGAAAAAATAAAATGTCACATCATCACTTTTATATTCTAATATATTGCAACATGAGCATTTAGGCTTTATAAATTATATATTTATATAGATAGATAGATAAATATAGATACAGATACATTTAATTTCACTTGTTACTTCAATCATTTATTACACTTTCCTGATTTTTCCCTCTCTATATATCTCTTCTTAAAGGGGGTATTGAAGTGAGTTAAGAGCAGAAATTTTAATATACTGTGTTATACTTTTTTTTATTAGCAAAAAGAATAAATTTTATTAACGAAAAACTTATTTTATTCAAGTACTAACCCGAGCCAATATGCCTCCACAAACACCCAACCTAACTCGGATAATTTAAGTGAAAAAATCTGGTTAAAACATCATTACTCGCCTAAACTAAATATAACAAAAATCCAATACTATCAACTAATATCCCATAAAATTACAAAGCCAAAACAGCAGATGCAATAATCTGTAACTATACCAACCATCCAACACCATTTCTTGAGATGAAAAATGATAAGAGAGAGTTAGCAAGCAATAATCACGATAAGAGATTCTTAAAACTCAGCTCAATTCAATTTATATCCGAGCTAAAAATGGTGTGTTACATTTATCATCTTTTTGTCATTAAATTTGTAAAATCTTATTGTCACGACCCGAAACCATGGGCCGGACCGGCACTAGGGCCCAGGTAAGCTTAAGGCCCCCGAGGCCCGTAGTAAGCCTGAATCAATAAAATTCTCCTTTCTCAATATAAATTTCAAACATTTAGCCCCTACTACTAGAAAAAATAAACCTCAAGATTTTATTAAATCTCGGCCCAAAATTCATATCTACAACATTTCAAGTTCGGCCCAATATTAACCAATACATCACATTTCTAATATGATTCACCAAAATTATTTCGTCTATATTAAATACACGGACTAATCGATGTAAAGTTCTACAACTGCGGATCACTAAACATTAGATACCATAGCTTTTCTATTTATAACATATAAATTAACTGTAAAATAAATATATAAAACGGGAAAATTTCTTCTAGTCCTGCGCAAAGGAACAAACTTAACCCGAATTAAAGAAAATTACTTCCTAAAAAGTAAACCAAGATATGTGAGCCTTCTAAGAAGTAATACCTATAGCACCAACACACCTCATTCACACAAATGAATAAATTATCAATCTAGTTCATCCGACTAGTTATATTGTCACGCAAGCCAGTCACACAAATGGCATATCATCAGCACTCACAATCATAAAACATCTTCATGTAATCACCATCACGTGAAATAGTCAGTGCGCCACCTGAAACCCCAACGACGTCCTCACACATGGCTCGCCCTCTCATAACATTGCACCCAGGGAGCCATCCCCCATACGCCAACTGGTCAATCCTCACTGACCATCCTCGCATTTATTTTTCCATTTCTCTCGTTTCTTTTCCATAGCCAACAGGAGGCAACACCGGTGTCTCCATCCAATTAGATCATCAAATGCTCACAAACAGAGGCCACCCTGCGGCACAATCAAATCTAATTGTCATGTCGCAACAACCAAACCATCCTGTGAATTCCCATATAATCTATATTCATCAGAGTGCACAAGGGGGCGCCGATCTTCCCATTTTCCCGGCCAGCTCAAATGTCAAATTCATAATCGTATCCATATCACAGACCCCTCAAACAAACCCATGGTGGTCCACTTCATCCCAAATTCCACACAAACAAGGATAACATATTCATCAGCACAGGTATCAAACAATGCAATCAAATCAGACATATTGATCAGTTGAGCCATCATAATGCAAGCACAATTAGCATTCATTCTTAAATACAATTAAATAATTAAATAAATGATATTAACAAACAACAAAAGATACAAATAAATAATAATAATAATAATAATAATAATAAAACAATATAAATCAAAATAAATAAATTAATTGAAGAATTAAATAAATAATAATGATAATCATAAAATGATTAAGCACTATATTTATTATGTATGAGTTATAGAATTAATCTAAAATAAAATTTATTATGATTATCTACCTGCTTAAATATCAACAATATTATACCCATCAACCATTACACACACAGCCCATCCATCGGGCAATCAAACAAATTAATTTCCCTTCCTCCGTCCAAAATAATCACATCAACATTTAATCGTCAATGTCAAGCTTCAACTTATTATATAACATTAAGTAAATAAATAAATAAGCAAATAAGTGAAAAATAGCTATTTATTTAACCTCCACACATAAGTCAATGATACTACTAATTGCTCTAAAACTATTCACTTGTCTAGGCCTTAATTTATAACTTCTCCTAACAATATTTATCCAAGTTCCTAAATTAGCTTACATCAATATTATACCGATTGCTTCTTAACAAAATTATATTTGTTCAAACCTTTCCTAAATATAATTATAGTTCATGTAATTATTTGGACAAAGTTTCTAAAACTCATTTGCAATTACCATTATTCTAAAATCCTAAACCAATTAACTAAATATATTCCGCTATCGCAAAACGCATACTAATCAATTTAATTAATAACAAAGACTAAAAATGTTCCTATATATATTTAGCTATTCCAAATAACCTAATTTCTTATTATTTCAATTAATTACTTAATTACTCAATAAATTTATTTAATTAACTAATTCAAATTTATACGGGAAATTGAGATTGAGTTTTAGGGCTACCGAATTGAAAATTTTGGGCGAACAATTCCACATCCTGCGAAAGAGAAACATTCTGTCCCTTGGTGCCTTCACGAGGCTCGCCGCCGGTCGCCGGACCGCCGCCGTTATCGCCGTCACGGTGGCCGGAAAATCGACTTTACCCAG